GCTCGTTTTTGTAATTTGAAAACGCCTCTAGACCGGCACCGATTGCCTCGGGGCCTTGCGCCGCAAGGTGTCGCACGCCCTCATGACCAAGCAAGGACATCAGCTTTTGAAGCCTGTGCCCCGGGGCAAAGAGAAGAGTTGTTCCATCCTCACAGGGGATCATTCTAAACGACTCAGAAGTAAATTGATCACGAGTGCTACCAAGTGTAGCGGGGCTGCCGTAGCGTTGCACTTAGAGGAAGCGTAAGTTTTGTCACCGACCTTTCGTTCTATACTTAGAACAAGTACGAGTTTAGCGGATCGTAATTCGCTTACTCCAAGAGTAAATATTGCCTTACCACAAGGCTAATTAACTCTTTCGTTTAAATCCAAAACTGACTTTATTTATTTCATCTGTGGCAAAGCCGCCTAATTTTAAATGCATGGATTTTCTTAAATTTATATAGTATAATCTAAATGCATGCATAACAACTGGCTATCCAGCCCCGTACCGTATTGTTGTTTAGGTGTGGTCACACCATGCCCATTTGCTGTGACACACACCCCTGTTACCAGGGTATGTGTAAACCCGTTACAACCATGGTAATAAAAAAGCGTGAGATTGAAGCATACAAACCAATTCTTTGGTTAACTGACTCATTGAGTCAGCGCTTCCTATACGTGGGGTCCGCGGCAACGTCGTTGCAATTGGTAGCGCTTTACGTCATATCTACGACCCGTTCATAACTGTACCTTTGCGAGGATGGATAACAAGTTGTTTAACAATTTGTCCTCGCGACAAGTAGTCGCGCTTAACACGCTCAATTATAGTATTTACCTTGAAGGTATTCGACAATGAAAACCCCAAGGGTCATAGGCAGTAATTGCTACCCTTGGAGTGCTCACCAGCTTTAAGATTGAGCTGATGAGATACAGCAACAAGCGCGCTGAACAAACCGGCTGTGATCCCACCGTGAGACCGCTAATGTTAAGAAACCAGCTCATTGACGGCAGGGAATGATTTATTTTCATTCGATAAAAAAAGTTGATATGGACATCGGCCATGCTCTAGACGGAGCAACTGCGCGCGGCGCTAGCGGTCGCCTAATCAGGATACCACGTACAAGAACGGGTACTAACGTGCGTTCGCTCCGTAGTTGAAGTATTTTCGACATAGGAAGTGTTGGAGCGACGGATGTCGCGGAAATTTGTACGCCTGGCCAAGCTTGCCGTGTGTGATCGAGATTCTTGTCCACCCGTCTAGGGAGATAAGAGTTGGGGGACCTTTTTAGGTATGAGAGCTCTCATTGCCGCATCGCGGCAGATGCTCTTACAAATACGCTAGCGGTTATCATTCAGCATGACGAATGTGCGGTTCGCACTGTACCCACCCTACTCCTATTTGAGAAGCGGTGGGCATCGATTTGAATGCGGACAACACATTCCGTGCCGAGAGGGCTTTTTTACTAGAGAAATTACCAGCTCATCAGAGAAGATGAGCCTCAGCCAACTAAAGGAGAAGCACCGTGGTGTTAGCAGATGCTCTTTCAGTCAAACTTACACCTAAGGTAGACTGACGAATTTACTGTGGAGAAATGTCGAGTCTTAACATGAAACGGGGTTACACATACCCTGGTAACAGGGGTGTGTGTCACAGCAAATGGGCATGGTGTGACCACACCCAAACAAAAATGCGGTACGGGGCTGGATAGCCAGTTGTTATACGTGTATTTAGATTATACTATATATATTTAGGAAAATCTATGCATTTAAAATTAGGCGGCTTTGCCGCAGATGAAATAAATAAAGTCAGTTTTGTCAGTTATGTCACCGAAAGGTCGGTGACATAACTTACGCTTCCGCTAAGCGCAAAGCTACGGCAGGCCCGCTGCACTTGGTAGCACTCGTAGTCAATCTACACCCTAGTCGTCTAGATTGATCCTGTTTGAGGATGAAACAATTTTCCTCTTTGCCCCAGGGCTTGCAGGACGGGCTTCAAAAGCTGATGTCCTTGCTTGGTCCTGAGGGCGTGCGACACCTTACGGCGCAAGGCCCCGAGGCAATCGGTGCGCGTCTAGAGGCGTTTTCAAATTACGAAAA